TCAAAATTTATTTTGACAGGAGGACACTGGCAAAAAGTTTGTGCCCAAAAGGAGCGCTGATTGAAAAAAGGTTAGGTAACACTTGGTTAGTGGCTAAAGTTGATTAGACACTGCAAAATCTATTGTAAAACAGTATCCAAGTGACAAGTCAACCGACCAAGAAACACTTCCCAAACAAATCTGATGTTTGGTCTTGGGAAAGAGATCAGGGTAAAGAATTTTTCAGTACCCTCCCTGTATATGTAGGTAGATAAGTAAGTCTATAGCCTAATGATCATAAACATTTATTTTAAACAAGAAAATCTTTCCAAAATAATGCTTCTTCATTAATCAAATACACTGAACATTATACAGTGAAAATTTCAGATCAAAATACAGCTAATATGACAGTTTATGAACTTCTTGAGCCACACTTGGATATACCATCATGAGAGTGAAGGAAGTGTTGATGCATTTATTTTACTAAAATTTGTGATGATTTGTATAATCATTATAATTATTAGGTACATGCAAATGTTTCCAGCAGAGTAATTTTTTTCAACTGTGTATCCAAACTCTAGTTTTCAAAATAGAGTACTAGGAACTTTTGCAGAGACCTAATAAATAATTTATGATTCATTATAATGCAATATTAATTAATATCCATTTAATTTATTATGATGCAATATCAATTAATATCCATTCTCTAGTTCTATCAGTTCACACCTTTATTGCTAGTACATGTCATTCTATTTCCACAAAGTTGAATCACCCTTATTTCCCCCATGTTCCAAATATAAAAAGGAAATTTCACTGCCACTTTGGGGAATTTTAAAAATGCTAACCTCCAGGAGAGCAATTCATGCATGTCTTCTTGGTTTCACATTTTCCATTAACATGAAGTGGAGTGATTGCATTGAATCAATTGCTAGGTCTGCTGTTAGGAAAGTTTGTTCACTGTGTTGTGCCAAAACCTTTCTTGCCACAATCCATCTTACATGACTATAAATCTACCAATTGACCATGTATTGAATATTGTTGCCCTTTCTGGTCTGGTTCTGCTACTGTATATCTTGAGATTCTTGACAAAATCCAAAGAAAGGTCTGTAATGTTAATAGTCCTAACCACTATCTTCTGTCTTACTGAAAACCTGTTCTTTTATTGTTCTTTCTTACTAATGTCTTTCTCATTCTATTTCACCCCCAGTAACCCCTTTAGTTTAGTAACACTATCACCTTGCATGTGATGAAATAATATATATATATATATATATATATACTTTTAATATTTGTTGTCACAAAAATCATTAGAGTCAATGAAAGTTCTAGCATCGTTTGCATAAATTGCTAATATAAAAATAATTTCCATTGCATTCTATAGTAAAATCATTGCAAAGTATTTTATGATAAAATCACTACCTGCTTTTAGTATTTGCATCAAAGTATATGCAATAATTATCAGTGCAGAAAGTGTGATAGATATTCCATGTTCAAATTTCAATGAAAAACATTGTTTGATTCAAAACAAATATCCTTGGGGAAGGTATGAATCAATTTTTCCCCTCCAGTTAAGGGTAAAATAGCAGCTCAGACAGAGCTCTCTAGCTTTGATGTTCAACCAGACTAGAAGAAAAAAAATTTGAAATTCAGAATCAGTTATGTAGGATTAGCAACACCTCATGTGGTGAGGCTGTGTCCCTATACTCCACATAAAAAACTATTTGCTATAGAAACAACAGCAGCAACACTTAGTGTGGTGAAGCTGTGTCCCTATAATCAACAAGTGAGAAAACAGAGTTTAACAAACATTTATAATTATTTATGTCAAGTAATATTTTGACGTATCTGTTTAATAAATCCTACCTGTGATATTACGGATGACATCAAACATTTCCACATATTTTGCATTCATGATACATTTCTTAAAAAAAAATTCTTTGCAACATAAGTTTTATCAGCCAAATCAAAATGTATATAATAAGTAACAAGTGAATGAAAAATTTACTTAATAATAAAGAAGAATCATATAATTCTACTTGTAAAAGTAAGTTAGCATTACATTATAAGAAGAATCATATTATAATTCTACTTGTTATAGTAAGTTAGCATTATTTTTATAGTAAATTAGCATCATATAAGAAGAATCATATTATAATTCTACTTGTTATAGTAAGTTAGCATTATTGTTATGGCAAGTTAGCATCATATTATAAGAAGAATCATATAATTCTACTTGTAAAAGTAAGTTAGCATTACATTATAAGAAGAATCATATTATAATTCTACTTGTTATAGTAAGTTAGCATTATTTTTATAGTAAATTAGCATCATATTATAAGAAGAATCATATAATTTTACTTGTTATAGTAAGTTAGCATCACATTATAAGAAGAATCATATTATAATTCTATTTGTTATAGTAAGTTAGCATCATGTTATAAAAAGAATCATATTATAATTAATTCTAATTGTTGTAGTAAATTAGCATTATTGTTATAGTAAATTAACATTATATTATGAGAAGATTCATATTATAATTATACTTGTTATAGTAAGTTAGCATCATGTTATAAAAAGAATCATATTATAATTCTACTTGTAGTAAACTGGCATCATATTATAAAAAGAATCATATAATTCTACTTGTTATAGTAAGTTAGTATTAAAATGTTAATTATAAGTTAGTTAGCTCTATACCCTGCCATTACCACATATAAATAACACACCATTTCATTATGATTGCTAGGAAAGAAAGAAGAAATAATATATCAAAGGCAGCTGTTTGGTTTCAGTGAGAAAAAAAGCATGCATAATAAGAAGAAAGGGAACATAGTGTAGACAATAACACTTTCATGCTTTTAACGTCTGCTTCAGTGAAATGGAAAAGCATGTCAATTTATAATCTTTTCATTTGTACCCTCTTACTTCTTTAAATGGTGACCTCCATTCATACTTATGATTGTTATTCTAATATTTTGTTAAAGTTATTTAGCTCAACTATTTAACAATACAATAAGTTAAGTTCCACAGGTATTTTATAATCATGAAACTCACCAGGAGTTTATTCAATCATTAAATTAAGAATTATGATTTATCAGAAAATTCAAATAAGAAAACTGTAAGATTGTCATGAGTATTAATAGTTATATTTATTCAGTCAAGCAAGATCAGCAATCGACCACATGTAAATTAAATGTAATAATCACCCTAATGTACATAAAATGTAATAATCCCTATAAATTTAATTCTCACACTAATGTATAAAATGTAATAATCACCTTAATGAATATATATAAAATACAATAATCACAATATATGTAATAATCACCCAAAAGGTTATAATCACACTAATGAATGTACATAAAATACAATAACCCCCTACATGTAATAATCACCTTTATGTATATAAAAATGTAAGAACACTATTATGTACATCAAATTTAATAATCACCCCAATGTACATAAAATATAATAATCACTCAAATATTCATAAAATGTAATAATCACCCTAATATCCATAAAATGTAATAAGCCCCTAAATGTGATAATCATTTTTATGTACATGAAATTTAATAATCACCCGAAATGTTATAATGACTCTAATGAATGTACATAAATACAATAATCTCTTATGTGTAATAACTACCATGATGTACATAAAATGTAATAATACTCTAATGTACATAAAATGTAATAAGCCCCTAAATGTAATAATCACCCTGGTGTACAGAAAATTTAATAAATACGCAAATGTCCATAAAATGCAATAACACTCTACACAAAATGTAATAATCACCCTAATGTATATAAATATAATAATTCCCCTAATTTATATAAAATGTAATAAGCTCCTGAATGTAATAATTAGTCTATGTAGATAAAATCTAATAATCACACTAAATGTAATAATCATCCTAATTTAGGACCCAGTCTGTCCTGCTATTTATCCATAGTTGCGGGGTGAAGAAGAGATGAATTCATACATTTCCCAATGGTATTTGCATGTAAGTGAATGGAATGAACTTGACTGAAATTTGAACTACAGTTTTATACCTTTGGGTGATAACCAGTCTAGGTAAAGGAAAAAACTAGAGAATTCAAAATGTCCAATGATGGATAAATAATAGGGCAGTCTGGGCTCTGTTGCCATGATTGGTAACCAGAGTAGGAGAATGACAACTCTGAATTCAAAAGTGTCCAATGTCATGTTCAATTTTGTCCTGGCAACTCTTGCGATGACACTGGCACCAAGTTGTTTTGGCCCCTGCCTTTCTCTTGGACACCATCAGTGATGTTCAAAGGGGTTACGTGCTGCATAGACAAATGCCGATGTTTCATTAAAAACCCTGCCCAGTCCTGCATGCTGGAGATGGCACAGATCTATGGTCTTTGGGCACAGATCCAGGGTCTCTTGAGATTGACCAATACCATAAAAATATTAAGATAATTTCCAGGACATTTTTAGATATGCTTTTGTAGTGTCACTATGTAGTTGGGTGTGTGTAGCATAATGGTTACTGATGAGGAAAATGGAATTGGGGAACCAAATTCAAATTTCTGTCTAGTCAGTTTCATTCACATAGATGTACTTAGGAAAGGCATAAACTCATCTCTTCTACTCCCCCCCCATCAATGGGTTAAATAAAGTAGACAAGACTCTCACCTTAGGCAGCACCCATCTGGGAGAAGAACTATTCTGAATTTAAAACTATGGAGAACATAACATAAAACCACTCCACTGTCTTTCCCAAGAAGTCCTAGCAGTTCATAGATAATAAAAAAATGGAATCTGTGGAGAGCCACAATCCCCTCTATACTGATGGAATATAAAATTAAAAAGCAAAAAGTGTCACTCTATGTAAATTAGTGAATGAAAGTTTTGAGATTTATTTAATAATTCTTATCGGTGATTGTAGGAGATTTATCTACAACAGTGTAACAGAGTTGAATACAAAATGACAAAACTCAATCGACAGAGCAGTGGACTGCAGATCAGAAGGTCAATGATTCTTTTTACTTACCCTCAAACGTACAGCAAGAACAATGAAGATTATTATCAGAATGACTGCCAAAGATGAAGAGATGACGGCTCCAATTGTATAAGGTGAGACTGAAAAGAAAAAGAAAATAACACTTTAATAAATCTTGCTTAAATGTCACCTTTGGCGACCTCTGTTCAATGTTCAACTTTCTCTTTATAGAATTTGTATTATAATTTGTCTATATTTCTGAGATAAGGTGTTGTAACTATTTACATTATTTACATTATTTGGACAGTTGTGAATATGACAATAAAGATGAGGATCATCTTTATTGTTATATTCACAATGTTTCACCTTATTTGTTGTTTTTCTCTAGCTCTCAAACAACAATAAAAGAAATTGTAATATGAGCACTGGTAAAAAAAAAAAAAAGGTTACTGAGACATTAGGTTTATAAGTCTTAAAAATTCACTCACTGGACTATATGTTCCGAGTTGATAAAAGCATTGGTTGGAGTAATGCAAAAAGTGGCTTAACCCAAAGAATTGTGAGTTCAGTACCTGGCCACAGCAGAGGTGAACAAAAACTTTAAGAGTTGAGTCACTAAAGAGAATTAACTAAAACTGAGATATCTAGAAAAGGCATGGCATGTGGAACTAGCCTGTAGACTAAATAAAGGGTTCTGTTTGAAATTCCAATATATCACCTGAAGAAAGCCAGATCATACAACATACAAAATGTTGTGAATATGACAATAAAGATAAGGACAACAGCCTGAATAATGTAAATAGTATAAATTATCTTATAATTATTTCTAAATGATATTCATCATGAATATTTTTATCATTAATTATTACCAAAGTAATGTCATTAGTATGTCAATATGACTGATGGAGAAGAATGCAGACAGGTCAAAAGAAACAACAGGTAATAGATCAGGAGTTATTTACTTTATTTACATTCAGACTAATGGCTACATCTCTGTTTCAGGAATTGTTCACTCTGGCCTTCTTCAGGTATCTGTTTGTCCAGGTAACCTTCATGGAATTTAAACTGAATTCTTTAATACCACCAAATTCATGAAACAATGCTGTAATACACATGGGAAAATAACCAAACAAATTAAGGTAATAATTATTAATTTCTTCCTGAATTTCTGGAACAAGGAGTTATCATCTGTCTATATTTCTGAGATAAGGTATTATGTACACCATTTACATTGTTCAGACTATCATCCTCATCTTTATTGCCATATTTATCACAATGTTTTGGCCATTGTATGCTCCAGCCTTCTTCAGGTGGTTGGAATGTCAAACTGAACCCTTTATTTCACTTGCTGGGGTAGACTGTTCTAGTTCCATGTGACATGTCTAATGGATGTCAGTTATCAGGACACACGGCGCATTAGATAAAGGCATTAGTTAGATCCAGTGACAGGGCTCAAATACCTGGTTAAGATGGTGGAGAACTTGGAAAAGGGAATTAACAGGAGATAACTGACATCCATTCCAACCACCTGAAGAAGGCCGGAGCATACAACAGCCGATACGTTGTGATAAATATGGCAACAAAGATGAAGATGATAGTCTGAAGGAGTTATCATTATTTACATTCAGGCTAATGTCCTCCTACATCATTATTGTTGAATTTGGTGACAGTAATTTTGAGTTCAATCCCTAGGCTGGGTAGTATAGACTCAGAGTCAATGAAAACAAGGCACACAATAACTGAGTAGTATTAAAAAAAGAACAAGACAGGATATGGACAGTAGTAGTGCCCTAACAAAAATTGCACTATGACATGCCATTTTTACTATGTTACAATAATATATACAAATATTAATTAAGGATGCTGTATTTACTTCTTACTAATACCCTTGGGAAAGGCATGCATTTACTACTCTCCTGTTAATGTTGTGGATTCTTCTTTGGATTCTGTTAAGAATCTGTAGATATCTGGCAGACCAGATGTGGCAGCCATATCTGATGTACAGACAAATGGAAAAATTATAAATGTGCAAAATAGATTCTGGTGAGAAAAATTATTTAGCATGGAATAGTAAACCAATTTCCTAGCAGCAGATTTATCAATTGATTCAATATAATCTTTTCACTTCATGTCATGTGAGACCAAGAAGGTACCATCATTTGCTCTCCTGGTGGTTAGCATCAGCCATACTAATGGAAGGCAAAAAATGTTCTTTAAGATGATTAACAGAGAGCAGTTTCATTTTGGAGACATTAAAATTCACAAGCAACTTTTTGCCACAGAAAGTAATATGAAGCAGGTTTGTTACCAAATCAATGAAAGAGTGCATTACTAAAAAGAGTTGATCAAAATCTGTGCTTGATAAATATATAAAGGTATGTTTTTTATAGATCATAACAATCCTATTTGTTTAGTTTGATTTTACCTAACATATTTTTAGCATTTTCAATGCCTTTCTAGAATAAAAGTATTTGCAGTGTTCTTTGTCATAAAATCATTAACTCGACTATTGAATAAAAGAGTCAAACAAAACCCAGTGAAAACAAAAGAAGACCCCAAATAAACCATCTCTTACATCAATGTGGGGGGGGGGGTCTACATTCCAAATTTCCAGAGGTTTAACTTTATCTTCTCAATGCCAAACCTGATTTCTTATTCCTGTCGGAAACTGGTATAGATCCATGTGTCAGTGTAGGAACTCACAATCCCAGGTTACTTGCCCCTAAGAGTAAAATGTGACTAATGCAAAGACCACATTAAGGATAGGTTCCCATGTGGCAGAGATCCCTGAAAATGAAGACCCTTATCTCCCATATATATGCTTCGGTATGGCACTTATCCACAGTACTACTTTCATCTTCACTCTCTATAGTTCTTAGGATGATAGAAATGTAATGTTCAACTGAATAGCCGAGATAATAACGTCACTGAGTATCCCTCAACTAGTTTTCATATTTGGGGTGACTTCAATATTCACAACAAAGAATGTTTAGTCCCCTCAAATGAACCCGATGAAGAAAGCAGATACTGTCGCAACTTCCCTCTTGTCTATGAACTGACAAAAATCATTGAAGTGGCCACTTTTGTTTCTGATGCAACAGAACAGACTTCTCCCTGACTTCTTTCTCATATATTACCCAGAAAAATGCTTTGCTGAAATATTAACCCCAACTCTCAGGCACTTCAGACCATTCACTACTCGGTATCAATGTTGATGCCAAACCGAAGACATCTTGTAAGGTTGTGTCTCAGAAAATGATTTTTTTATACACAAAAGCTGACTGGGATGGTTTCAAATCTTACATGGTATAAGCTTCTCTCTCTGCATCTAAAATTGTCACCTTCATCTTAAAATGGATCCTTTCAGGAATGGTGTATTTTATACCCCAGAAAATATTCCAGCAAAAACCTAACAGCCAGCCCTGGTTCAACTCTGAATGTGCTTCAGCCATAGCTCACTATCACTACTACAATATCCATCAGGGGGAAAAGTATAGTAGAACACTTGCTGCATTCAGAACTGTCTGCAATCGTTGCAAGAGTGTGCTAGAAAATGCAAAGTGTAGCTATGTGCAAGCAGTTCAGGCCAAGGTTGAAAGCAAACAACTTGAATCCCAGAAGTTCTGGAAATTTTCCAACCAAATTCTCAATAGAGGGAACGTATCGGCATCTACTTTCATAAATGGCTCTGAGGTCATCTCATTCTCATCAGATAAAGCTATGATCTATGCCTCTAACTTCATATTAAATGGCAATGCCCTTCTTGACATTCTCCCATCTCACTGAGCACAGTCCCAGTAATATATTTATAACAACCAGGGAAGTTTCAAAACTTATCAAAAGTCATAACCATAAGGTTACCAGTTCAGATTTGTTGTCTTTAAGAATATTAAAATGAGTTATTCCTGATATTAGCAAAACTATTTAACTGCTGATTGAAGGAGAATTCCTTTCCAAGTCTGTGGAAGGTGTCAAGTGTATGCCCATTTTTTAAGAATGCTGGTAACCATTCATTCCTATCTCAGTATAGACCCATTAGTATCCTCAGTGTCATTAGCAAATGTTTTGAAACTATAATCAACCATAAGGTTGTTGATCATCTCTTGAGGGACAAGCATTATGATTTCAATTGACTCAGTCCACTGCTAATATCCTAACTAACATTACTCACAGAATCAGTGAGGCACTAGACAATAAATACATCTCAAGGACAAACACATTAGATAAATAAATATCTAATCAGAGGCTTTCGAGTCAGTGTGTCAGAGAGGGTTGCTGTACAACTTCTGTAGCTATGGAATCACTGGAATAGTCTTCTCAATTATCAAATAATTCCTAATGGGTAGGTCTCTGAAGTTAGTTGTTAATGGCCAGTAGACCTAGGCCCAAATGATCAATGTAGACACGCCAAGGGTTCACATCTCAACCCAACCTTCTTTCTAGTTTACATAAATGATCTATCTAAAGTATGCTCTGATCATTTATGAATATCTGTGCTGATGATGCATAATATCTATGCTGATGATGGCATATGGGTGGAACTCCAAAACTCTTGATGACCAGAGAATGGTAACTGATCAGTCCTTTAACCTAGTTTTAATAGCTCAGTGAGTGGGTGTCAGTAAAGTGGCTGGTCACATTCTATGCCTCAAAAATCAAACTAGTGACATTCAATCATCACCAAGCAGATGCTGAATTTCTGCCTACAACAATGAACAGGTATTCTCTCAGGGAGGCCCTGTATCTTGAGTGCCTATTGGGACTTGTTGGGGGGTTCACCCACATCATAGCAGCAGTAATTAGCTTCATGTTCATGGAGATAAAAGCATCTTTCTTTCTTTTTATGTGCTGTGTCCTTTCAGGACATAGGTGATCATGGCTCTCCACTTCCCCTTATCCCTTGTAGCTCTCAATAAGTTTTTGTCTCTCTGCCACCTCCCTCATGTTCTGCCATCTACTTGCTTAAGTCCACCAGGTATAAAAGCATACTTGATAGAAAATAAAATGTACAGAAATAGCAGGAAAAGCATGGTAAATTGTATCTGTTGTAGAATAGTTTTCACAGTGGAGGCTTGTATTTCACTAAGTCAGTCCTAAAAGGGTCCGACATACAAAACGTTAGGAACTTGAAATAATAATT